CCAGTCCACTGTATGTGATGCTACCCATGGGCAGGTTATCATGGGACACATAAGAAAGCTAGTCTAGGGAAGCAAGACAATAAGAAGCTCACCTCCTCTCCTCCATGGTCTTTTCTACACTTTCTGATTTCAGGTTTCTGCCCTGACTTCCCTCCAGGAAGGACTGCAAGCCGTTATGTGAAATAAATCCTTTCCTTCACAAATTGTTTTTGGTTATGGTGTTTTATCACAGCAATAGAAACCTAACTTAGAAAAGCATGCAGTGTATTTTAAGTTGACACTTTTGAAAGCTAAATTTTAAAGAACAAATTCTCAAGTAGTAATGAGGACTAGGAACTATTTATTTGAGTTGTTTCAGGAGGCATTTTTAGGAGAAACAATCACCATCTTCAAATTGTTGATACAAAGTTGGTCATATAAATATTTTCCAAATAAACATTCATTGCTGATCTCATTTTTTTGGTTTGTATTTTGTTGTGCATCATTTTTTTGCGGGGGGGGGGCAGGCTAGGGTTATCAACCAGTTTCTGCTGTACACTCATTTTTGTTAATTTACTAACTCATATTCCAGGACCTATTGTATACATCATATATTATTTCACTTTGAAAATATATAGTCACTCAACAAACATGTATTGAACATCTGACACACAGTTTGAGTATAGAGGAGCTCATTCCTGCCAGGTAAATGTCAACTTATGATAGAAAAAGAGATGTTTCTATCCTAACTTCTTAAGTTTATTGACCCAATATTGACTAAAGCTGAGATGTGTCAGCTTTTTCTAATGATTATATTTTAAATCACAAGAACATCTGCAGTGTTCTAGGCCAATTGATATTGAGCAGATTTTCATGAAAAAAGAAATATTCTCCATTACGACCACACACATTTAAAAGAGGCATTTTTTATTTGCTATGAATGTGTTAAGAAATAAATATCTGACAGTTTGATATCCTCTGAACTTAGGTATTAGAGCACCAAAAATTACTAAGGTAATTCTTTTCCCCTGGTCTTAAGTAACTCATAAACATGCTACAATAAAAACCCAAACAAACGAACAAACAAAAAAACCTTTCTCTCTTTAGGGAATAAACGCATGTAGCTGCTCAGACATGTGACTCATGCAAGAGTTCTCAAGGTTTATATTGCTATTATCTGGGCTACCATGTGGTTTCTTCTTGTTGGTCGAGTTTGAGTAGAGGAGCTTATCTTGTAGGAAACTAGAGATGCTGACATAATGGCCTGCCTTGGCATGATGCAGGGGTAAAGAGGGTACTGCTGCTGTAGACCTTTCAGTTCATTGAGTACCTTCTAGCTGCTTGCTGTGCTAACCCTTTTAAAATGTAAATTGAACTCTTTAAACACACTCTTTAAGGATATTTCTGTGGTTCCTTGTTTGCCAATGAGATAATTGGAGGTCTAAAAGCATGTAACCCCAGTATAAGTTCACACAGTCAGACTGTACACACTGGCTATTATAATTTCAGACCTTTTGTTCTTTTTTTTTCTTTTGTTCTCTGCCTCTCTTGATAGACCCTATCAAAATGTGCTCCTTCCTGCTCTGTGAGCATATGACATTCACACCTGGGTTTGTCAAGTTAAGGAACTACAAAGTGTCACTCACCATTAATTATATGTGTAGCTTGAATGCATTCAGTTATGAATTCATCCAGGCTGTATTTAGCCATGGAGTGACACTAAGATTGCAGCAATCATCAAGACATGCCATTTTGTTAAATGCTTAGAGTAGAGCCTAACAGGAATAGCTATTGCTCCCTCTTTTACTTTGTTAAGGGTAGGATTGCCATTTATATGTGTTTTGCTGCAACCGTCACTGAGGATAAACTCACCTTGAAAATATTTTAGGAAGATGTCATGTTGAAAAGCGACAGATCTCTAAGGATTTCTTATGCAGCCAACTTTTCCTTCAGCCCCAAGAAAGATCGTTTTTTATCTTGCTGAGCACATGATAACCTCATGGGGTTGCTTACTTCACTGTGTGAAAAATACTATGTTCAGAAGTGAGACAGCCTCACATTTGCAAGATGCTCCTAGCAAGAGGGTGTCTGCGCCAGAGATGAACTAATTTAGAGCTTTGGTCTCAGGTTTCCTGTGGATAGATACATTATTTCCAAAGTGACCCACCACATCTATTTACTACCTTTGTTCTCTAGAATGTTCTGTTTCCCTCTCCAGTGTAATTTCTCTTTTTTTCTATATTTTCCCCTCAGTTCATTAAAGCTTAAATATACCTGTGTTATAGGTTTTTATTATTTAATGAAGCAGCCAAGTATCTACTTGTTCTTATACTTGTAGATTATTCACAGTCAGTTTTCAGTATTCCTGTCAATTTTTCTTTTACGTTTGGTGTTTATAATTATTCATATCTCTTAAGTAGGAGAATTTTAGGGATGTTGGAAATAAAACTTTTTTTAGTAGGGATAAAAAGATAAGACATTAGTACCAAGTAGCAGCAGTAGTGAGAGACAGGGTAAATATTTCCAGAGTAAATTAATGTAAAAGATCACATATTCAGTTATATGGAATAACAGCAAAGTTGGAGAGGTATTTTGTTAGACTATAATGATATCATTTACATGTATGTGTGCTTCAATCATGACACTGTTGGACTCTATATATCTAATAGGTATATACTCACACACACACACACATACACAGAGAGAGAGAAAAAAAGAAAGAGAGTAAATTTCACTGGTTCTAGCATTTATCAGAAGGAAAAAAGATAGAGAGGAAATCATTTTGCTTAAGTAATATAAAAATAAGCGTATGTGTATGAACTTGTTTTCATATTACTTACAGTCTGAAGGATTGACCATACATACCTTTTAGGAGGTCATGTATCTGGATCATGAAAGAATTGGAAAACAAATAGTTCATATATATATGAACGCACACACACACACACACACACACACACACACACACACACACAGAGAGAGAGAGAGAGAGAGAGACAGAGACAGAGACAGAGACAGAGAGAGAGACAGAGAGACAGACAGAGACAGAGAGAGACAGAGAAGGAGGAAGGAGGAAGGAGGGAGAGAGGGAGAGATTATATTAGCCAAGAATTGATGTCCATGATTAATGACGATGCTTTCTCAACAAAAGTTGAATGAAGCAGATGAAAACTCAGTAGGCCTAGGCAGTCTCTGTGAGCATACAAATAAGTCTGATCAACAGCTATAGCCTCCCCACTTGATGCCAAACAACTCTTCAAAAGCCAAGTAAGAATATCAGTGTTTCAGCCCAGAACCTCATCTCTGTTGTCATGGGTGTTCGTGACAGTGGTGAGAAGTTGGCACGTATTGGGATCCATGTTATGCTGTTTGCATGACATGAATAGATTTTGAGGGTTTGTCTAACCTTGAATTAATATTTGATCAGCAAAAATTGGATCCAACTGTACAATACATTGACTACATGGCATCCTTATCACTTGAATAATAACATCATATTGAATCTTACATCTTTTAACTTTAGCCTTGGATAGGGAACAGGTGGATCAGAAAACCTCACTCAATTTGTACTCAATTTGTACTGCATTTTTCTCTTTTCCACTGAAAGACTATTTGTAACCCTTTGGGTGCTGTACAGCACAGAATGACTTCAGTCTGTGTATTTCTCTAGTTAGGTAAAAATCTTCAGCTTGCCCCCAGAAACCAATGAACCTCTTTGTGCTGGGGTAGTGTGTACCACTCATCCACTGGTTAGAAGTCACATAAAGTGCTGTTTTGTGAATTGTTAGTTGGCCATAAGCAGTTCTATTTGTCGTAATCAAGCAAAAAAAAATAATAGCCTCAGAAGCAGGCCTAATGGGATTGAAAGGAACGTTACAAAACAAAAGTGTAAAGGGCACAGTCTGTGAAGTGTGTCACTTGGTCAATTGCACAGCAGTAAGAGCTTTCTTTTACTTGCTAGCTTGGAATTTTTCCTCCCAGTGTGCTGTGTGAGGTTCTCTCCGGAGGCATCGCAAACTGTTTAGAACCTCTTGGCAACAGCTTTTGGATCAAAGCCAAAGTGATAGCCTGTTAATGCTTAAAAGAGAAGAAGGTTACTTGCATATATATTTTTTTAAAACAATCTTTCCTTTCCTTTAGTGTCAAAGAAGTTTTAGTTTTATAAATCTCCTTAATTAGTAATTTCTGCTGGATTGTGTTAGGTTTATTAGATGAGATTAAGTCAATATGAATGATGTTTATTAAATACTGACAACAGCCAAATAAAATCTCCTTGACTCTATGTTTACTATTTGGTGCCTGAAAGAAAAGCTAAGCTCATCAGAGGTGTGTTCATGGGTCTGAATTAGAAAACAAGCTTATGGATGTTCCCCTAGAGTCTGAGTATCAAGCTTCAAGTGATCTGGGAATTAACAATAAAAGGCTTTTGATAATGATTGATATACATCCTTCATTTCACACATTGATTTGTTAAAAGATGGGAGCTTGGCATGAACCTCTGTGGGTGGGAAATGACTTCTTGAGTTGAAGGCTATGTTGACTCTGTAATTGATAGAGGTCTGGTTTTGGAGTGCTTTTTAATAGAAATCTCCTCATTTGAGTGACATCGTTTCATTTTGATGCCTTGGTCACTGCATCAGACCAAAGCAAGTGGCTATTATGTACAACAGTTTGTGGAGGGCTGCCAGGGATGAATGCTAACAAATTGTAGTCTATTCCAAAATCCCTGAATCCATGAGGGCAGATGCATCAATAAAGCTTCCCATGTGAAGTGTAATTACGTGATTGTTTCTGCATGTCTCCCTTTCGACCTCCGATATTCTGAGATAGAAAGGCCCAGAATTCTGAGCAACAGAACAATGCTATTAGGTATTTACACATTGGATTGATTGTCTTTGATGCAAAGTGGGATGAGAAGATAAATTAGTATATGTTTGATACAATAAAGATGAAAATTAATTTAAAAGTTTCTTCATAGCTGGATATTATCTCTAAAACTGCAACTCTTGGTCTATCCCTAGGTTCTGTAAATAGCAGACAATGACCCTGTCGTGATACTCCAGGCAGATCATAGTGGAACTAAATTTACTGGTAAGAGTATTGCTTTAATCAATTTCTTTATGCATTTATACTGTGTTTAGTTATCACATCACACACTGTACAAATATAGCCAGGGGAAATAACAAGGGATAAGAAAATGTCACAAAAAAATGGATATTCACTAGTCTATAGAGCATGTATAAACCAGATACATAACAGTGTATGTGGATGTACGTGTGTGTGTGTGTGTGTGTGTGTGTGTGTGTGTGTGTGTGTGTGTGTGTATCTGGGTGCATGTGTGTATACATGTGTCTGTGTATGTATACGTGTGTATGCCTGTGTGTGTGTGACTGTGCATGCATGTTACATTAAAATGCTTTCTTATTTTTTTAAAGAAAAAAAATCTCTTCCCTTGAAGTTATTCTTCTTGTTGGCTGACCTCTTGACATATTTGAAAATGACATCTTGACCATATTTATCTTAATGCCATTTTTAATGGAAAAATGAATTTTGCTCCTAAGTTCTGAGGTTAACTTCTTAGGGGGCTTGGTGTTTACCTAGGAAAAACTTACATTTTCAGGGGTCAAAAAGAGCTTGCCCTTTTGTGGTCTGGAGGGAGTTTGAACTGTCCCTGGGATTTGGATTAATGTGAAATCTGACTTGACTCTTCAGTTGGAGTTTTATCAAATTGTTGCAATTCTAGGCAGTATGATATTCAGTTTCTAAGAATTTGAAAGTCAACAAGTCTGTTTTGAAGGGCTAGACACACACATTGATGTTCCTCCAAGGAAACTATGTGTTTTTAAACCTAGTTCCCTAATTCCTATTACTGGAAGAAGAGTTGTAATTACATGTAGGTAGAGCATATGGGTTGTGATTACATTATATGTGTGTATGTATGTATATGTGTGTGTGTATATATATATATATATAGTAGAGTATACATATATATATTAAATCTGATTGTTTTAATCATGTGTATCAATGCTATGCTTGGTCTGTAGTATTACGTTCCATTCAGAAAAAAGGGTCAACAATTAGTGTCATTTTTGGTTTTCAATACAAAGTGATTTGAAAGATTCATTCTTTTTTTTTTTTTTTCGTTTTTCGAGACAGGGTTTCTCTGTGTAGCTTTGCGTCTTTCCTGGGACTCACTTGGTAGCCCAGGCTGGCCTTGAACTCACAGAGATCCACCTGGCTCTGCCTCCCGAGTGCTGGGATTAAAGGCGTGCACCACCACCGCCCGGCGAAAGATTCATTCTTAATAATATAAAGTGTTTTCTCATGCTTGAAGAGCCCAGTTTTGCCAATGACAGAATATGATACCTGAAAAATTAAGTTATCATTTGATACATGCAAAACTTTTTGCCATATAAATTACAAATGGGACCTTAATAAATACAATGTAAAGACAGACATGACACATTGACTTTGAGTTACTGTTAACATTATTTAGCTTCTAGTAACCTGTAGAGGCCGTCTAAATGAAGTCACGGCTGTTCAAGGAATAAGGATTTGAGGATACTGTGTGTGTGCTTTAAGAATTACTTGACCTCTTTGTCTCAGTGCAGTGGTTTTATCCTCTATGTATTTGCATCTTCTGTTTGGAACTTCTCTGAACAGACATGTTAAGTCCAGTTAATCTGTATGTCTATTAGAAGATCATAAACCATGTGGGCTATATTCTAATTTCCTGAGGGAGAAGCAATCCGGAAATCTGATTACTCAGGTCTTTTGATGACAGAGTTTATAAGGGGTGCATTTATTCTATTAAAGCCCTTTTATGACTTTATTTGTAATAAATTTCTAGTTTGTGAGATACCTAGGTAAGTCTTCTCAGAAATTAAAGGATCAAATATAACACCCATGGGATGGGACACATAATTCAGTGGTAAAATACATGCCTGGAATGCGCAATGCCCTGGGTTCAGAACAACAAAAAGTATCCCAGTAATACAGAACAATCAGCCAAATAAAAAATATAAAACAACCAGTATATTATCGAGTAAACTTCACTCTACCATAGGAAGTCTAATTGTCTTTGGGCCAGCTTGGTATATAATTAATAATTATATCTGTTGACATCATGAAAATGGATACAAATCTGTGAAATACACTACTGCTCACTCATTACTGTCCACCCCACACTCTATTTTGTTTAATTATAATTCTTTTTTGTGTTCTTGATGATTGAACAAATCATTATTTAATTCTATATGATATGTTATTTCCTTTTTCAGTTTTCATTGTGATACTTGAGAAATTATCCTTGTAACTTCCAGGAAAGTTTTGTGGGATCATGGTCCTAGAATACACAGACACACACACACACACACACACACACACACACACACACACACACACATACACACAAACACACAAACACACAGGTTAGCATGTACACACACACACACACACACACACACACACTCACACACACTCCTTAATTTTCTTTTGTTAATCCTTTGTGTGGAGATTTCTCCCTTGCTACAGTGCCTCTTCAAAAATAATTTTTAAGAGAATAAACTAATCACTAGTGCTCTGGTAGAAAGGAATACTGATTTTGCTCTTATATTTTCCAAACCAAAAGTTGTCTAGATTTACTAAGTGCCCAGTTCATAAGTGTTAGAAATGTTTTGAGATTGAATCTGTGCATATGAGATACATGCATGTTTATTTGTACATGTCATTCATTGCCATATCCATGTGTAATTTATCTAAAGAGTTATTGTCCATGCATCTTAACAGGCAGTTTAAGTAGGTGAATGACAGAGAAGATATTTTTGTTGTAGGAGTTCATGATAAAACATGGAGCAGCAGGTCACCTTGGGGCACACACCCAGACTGATGGATGGTGCTTATCTCTCTCCACTGCTCCTCCTACTGATTTATGGACTTTGATGTGTTCTTTTATATCAAAGCCTAGGCTCCATGTCTTGGTTGTCCAGAAGAAAGATTAATATTTTCATTTAATCTTAGTAAGGTGCTGTTGTGTGAAAGAAGATTACAGCTACCTTCCCTAGCTGGTCTGAGAAGTTTTTATAAAGGAATTGATTATTTGACACTGATTACCCAAGTCCATTGGCACAGGCTATTGACAGGCTTGCATGAGATTGGCCTCTGTCCTCTGAGGATGAGAGAACAACCTCAGTATTGTGAAAGGTTTCAGTACAACAGCTCCATATACTGCACAAATGTAGCTTGTTTGGTCCTGCTTCCATCTAATTCCCATAATTATCACTTAGAATAGAACCTGGGCCACACCCTGTTCTATAAAAATGGGGGTCAGGAAGAGGAAGTGAAGAATGGAGACTGGAAAGACTCTCATTATGGATTACTTTTTGGACACCTGTGTAGAGGAGTTCCTGGATTGCTTCTCTGGATCCTGTAATTGCCTTGGCAATCTTGCTTAGAGTTCCCAATTCCATTTCAATATGCCCTGTGATGTGTTTAAATGCTTTTGAATCCATCAGCTGCTGATAGCTCCAGCCAGCCAAGTGGCTCCTGGTCTTGTTACTGGCATTGGCTCTAGCTTGTTCCCTTTAGGACTATTAGAAAATAAAAACTGTAAGTTCCTGTCCATGCAGATTATGCAAAGCCAAATTCTCCTTTCAAGAAGTTCTGTTTGGAAGCCAAGTAAAATGGATCTCCTTGGAAAGAATTTTCCCTCTGTTGAATAATTAAGTGTAGTTTTTCAGCATCTCTTGAGATGGGGTATGCAGAGGTGTAAGAAGATTCCATCAGTGCTAGAATGTTATGCATAAATAATTAATGTGTCATATTTCGTGTTACTGACAGTAAACAGTGTCCTTTTCCTTTTCCAGTGATTTGAATGTGTCAGAAGAGCGCCATGCCCTTGTCACAGAATTAATCACTTCTATCCATATTTGATATTTGCACCTTTTAAATATTTATGAGCTGTTATCTTGCTTTATTGTTATTTACCGTCTCTAGGGGCATGTGAGAAGCCTTGCATTTCTTACTTAGTCAAGCATTCTACTTCCTTCCTTACTCTCTTGGCTGTTCCTTGGATTACCTCCAATTTGCATATGTAATTCTGGTCTTGAGGTGCCAGAAATCCATTTGTTTCAACTGGAGTTTTATTGAAGTTGGTTTTATTTAAATCACACACACAAATAAACGCGATTTTCAAGGCATGAAAATTCTGTGAGGGCTCTGAAGGGAAGCTGAGGTGCACAAACATACTGTTAAGATGGTAAGGTAGATTTTATGTCCCTAGGAAAATGGAAGTCCAAAATCAAAAGACTACAGATGAGCACTGTGTGAAGAATTGCATTGTAAAACTTTACATACATGATCACATTGCAAAGCATTTCCTTTTTGTGGATACTGCCAATCTATGTGTTTTCCTTAATCTCTTAACTGGGGCACAATTGGGAATATGAATATCTATATGTATTTAACATGTAAAATATTAGTGGTTGGATATATGCAAACACCTATGAGAGCACCCATAATCAAGGTACTATGCATACCCATTATCTCCAGAGGTTTCCTCTGTGCCCCTTTGTTTTTCTGGTTTTAAGATTTTTAATAGCAAAGCCTGGTACATTGCAGTTGAGGCAGGCCCAGGCCCCTCCCCACTTACATCAAGGGTGAGCAAGGTGTCCGATTATAGGTAATGGGATCCAGAAACACACTGCCTGATCACACTGCCAGGGGCTCCTCAAACAGGCCCAGCTACACAACTGTCTCCCGTATGCAGAGGGTCTAGTCTGGTCTCATGCAGGTTCCACAGCTGTTGATCTAAAGTTCATGAGTTCCTATAAGGTTGGTTCAGTTGTCTCTGTAGATTTCCCAGTGGGAAGACTTACCCTTTTGGAGGAGGTAAGAGAAGGCAGGGTGGGGGGGGTAGAAGGAGGGATGAGAGGGGATATGTAAAATGAATAAAAAAATTAAATAAAAAAAGTTTTTAATAGACTTAGTTTCTTCCTTCATAGACTTTTTAAGGATTTTATTGATTTTTCATTTTTTCCACATTCAGAAAGCAAAATCTGTGTACAAAAGCAAAAATAGTTGCTATCGTATTG